ATCCACCCCCCCCCCCCCCCGTCGGGGACTTTGGACCCCCGTCGGGGAAATCCTGGCGCCACCACTGATAAGTACCACGTGAGCTAATTTATTAATTACATACCTTGGTGGCTTGGCAACTCTAAGTTTGGACTTTTGACCATTAATGCGTCTGCTTCATTGTCTGTAAAGAACATTAATGACATTTGAACTAAAAGGTTTTATAATAAAAATGTGTAATATCATTGATAAAACATTAACTCATTAATCGCAACAACAATGACCTTAGTTAAGCACAACTTGAACTTGTGTAGATCATAACAATCAACCTTTATTATTTTCTTACTTAAAATTGTTACTAACTGTAAGTATTATTTCATAATTATACTACTACTACTACTACTACTACTACTACTACTACTACTACTACTACTACTACTACTACAGTACTACTATTATTATTATTTCTGCATGATTATTCTATATTATTACTGTTATACTGTATGTAGGCCTACTGTTATAATTTTTTATTATTATAATTAATGATAATATCCTAATAATAATAGTAATAATAATAATAATAACAATAATAATGAAAATAATAATTTAAATAAAGGAGAAGAATTAATAATTAACATGCAAGTGGAATACCATCAACTAAAGCTTTCACTGCCCAGCGAAGACCATTACTTCGTAACACTTCGATAAAGTTGTCCATATTTCCATCACCGAGTTTCATTCTTTGTTCTAGATCCAAAATCAGACTCCAACTGTCTCCATATTTTTTAAGTAGAGGTATGTTGTATATTCCATCAAGCCTTACTACATCATCTTGAGTCAGCGTTGTTCCCAGCTTTAAAAGTTTTAGTCTGTTTTGTGTAAACTTAGTAACTCCGCATTCCGTGCTATTTTCGAATGGTAGAAGTTTATCCTTGATTTTCGATTCAAAGCCAAATTGTTGGGTTGCTCTCACTGTGTCGTATATGATAGTAAGATTCTCTGAACTCAAATTTCCAGAACAAATTAACATACGTAGTAAGTCCATCACCGTAGTAGCACTAATCAACTGACAATTGTCATTCACATTGTCTCGGTATAGAACTTTCAACATAGTCAAGTATCCAAGCCGATCATACCATTCTGCCACGTCAACCAGCAACTGTCGGAAGTCGACCTCTGTAATTCCTATGATGGAAAATGTATACCAATGCAATTATGGTGGGATTTGTTAATAAAAATTAACATATAAGTTAAAATGGACCTAAATTAACAAGTTAGATTTACAAAAATAAGCGTTTGTTTAGCTAAAGCTGCAAACATAAATTTATTTTGTTGTCAATAATATTGTACTGTTATAAAAGTTGGTCGACATGGCATCTTCATTACCATGACATCATTGTTTTCGTCATTGTCGCCATCGTTAATATTATTATCATCATCTTCATCATCATCATCATCATCATCATCATCATCATCATCACTATCATTCGTCGTCATCATCCTCATGCTCATTATATGATAAAAATGTTATAGGTGATAATACTAATGACGATGATGTCCATCATCAACACAGTTCCAGGCAATTGACGCGTAATACAATATCTATAGGTCTACATCTATACCTGGAGTATAATTTCCAGTCCGTTTTGTTATTAATAAATACTGTTAGCATTTTCAATTTCGATTTTACTATCATTGCAAGAAAACTTTACCAAATTCTATATAGACCTACTGTAATCCATTATATTGCAAATTACAAAACGATTCAATTAATAAATCAAAACTGGTTTGTACAGTGAACTATCAAATGTTATTACCTTCTTTCGACATGTCAATTTACGGTGTGCCTTTGATTTTATAATAACATTTCATTCCTAAAAAATAATTGAAGAAAATAGATAAATCCACTAATTCAGTAGCAAGTAGGTGGCCTATATTTGTTCAATATGCTTTAAATTTTAACATAAAAAACCATGCTGTAATTTAAAAGAATATTAACAGAAAACACGATGATCCAGACCTTCCCTTTCCTATTATAACATAATAGGAAAGTAGACCCTATTATTTTTTTTAAAATTAAAATCACATTGCCTATTACTACCCGGTATCTCTATCATCCACGTCACTATTACTAAATACAATGCATTAAACTTCTAAACGGCTAATTGATGATATAGTTTTTTTTTTTTTTTTTTTTTTTTTTTTTTTTTTTTTTTTTGCCAAAGTCTCAAAATAATTATAACTCCATGAGCATACTAAACCAAACCAAAAGTATACTAAACCAAACCAGCACACAAATTAAAGGGTTTGAAAACAGGTGTGAGCACATTTGTTATATTTTTGTAGCCAAATACCTATGTGGCATATAGTACGTGTTCCCCACCCTGTGGCGCCGCTAAAGAAGTATATAATACGTTGTTTACTTTTTTAAATAAACCTCTCTGTTACTGCTGCTGGGGGGTATTTTGAACCAAGATACTTGCTATCACCTTCAAAATAGCAAAAGATTTTTTAACTAAAGCAGAACAGATTAGATTATAAAGCTAATAGTAGAGCGGCTAAGGAGAAAAATCGTGCACTTTTGGAAGAAAGCATGAAACTTCCCACAGTGATACTATGACACCTAAGGATCATTAAAAAAATAGACCCCAAAAAATAAGCCACTTAGTGGCCGCCATCTTGAAATTCAAAATGGCCGCCAAAATATTGGATTTTTATCAATAATCTTCATATCTACAGCACCTAGCACTGTCGTTCAAAGGTCTTTACCTATGTTTTCAATATCAGGGAGTATTATGCTATCATCAGAAATTATGTCAGATGGCCGCCATATTTGATTTCAAGATGGCTGCCAAAATATTGTTATTTTTGTCATTATCTTCATATCTACAGTAACGTAACACAGTCAATCGCACATTTAACCATGGAAATTATGTTAGAAGGCCGCCATATTGGATTTCAAGATGGCTACCAAAAAAATTTCCTTTTTCAGTTGTATGAAAAAGTTTCTCGAACGTGTAGCCACATTACTATCTCGGTGTCGTATCAATAGGTCATATCAGTACACCACAGAGTTCTATATACGATAAAGGGGCATATCTCACTCCCAGATACTTCTCTCATACGACTGACTTATATTAAATA